GGGGCTGCTCCGCCGAAGCGGCAGCTACACGTAGCGCAGGTCGCCCTAATCCCATTAGGGCCGAGCACCGGCTGATTATGTGCATCTACCGCCCGTAAGCCGATGAAGCGGGTATGATCGCACATCCCCTAAGAAGGTCACATGTCACCTTATACCGGATCAACTTATTACACGCGGCTTGTTTTCTTTTTTCCGTTTCGGTTTTCAAACCCAAACAACCTCAATTGCAGCCGCCTCGACGCTTTTAAGACAACTTCACCTTTCTTTTCGGTGTTTTTTTGAAATGCGCGGGGAAAGACGCCTGCCCCAGCCCTGAGCACGCCGGCGGCGGCGCCACCGTACCTGTGTGGGAGCGGAGGTGCCTCTTGAGCGCGGTGTGGCTGGGGAAGGTGCGGTTGCACTCGCTGCAGATGTAGCTGCGCACCCCGGCGTGCACCTCCATGTGCTGCTGCAGGGCGCTCTGCGTCTGGAACCGCTTGCCGCACAGCAGGCAGAAAACGGCCATGTCCGTACCTGCGGGAGAGGGAGAGAGCTGGCTCAGGCACCCCCCGGCACCCCCATCCCACTGGACCACCACCCCACCAGGCGTTCGGGGGGCTCCCCGCTCCCACCCAGCAGTAGGGATGCTCCGGCAGCGAGGAGGATGCTCCGGCAGCAGGGGGGACCCCCAGGGCTGCAGGGCTCCCGGTGTCACCGGGGTCCCGGCAGTGGGACCCCGACCACCCCGCCCCTGGCTCTGCAGGGGGGGTGGGGGAGGAAGGCACGGGGGATTTATTGCATTGGAGGCAGCTGGAAGCCCCAGCCCAAACGCAAGGCAGGTGAGGTGCAGGTGATCGTGGCATCCCCAGGCACCTGCGAGAGCTGCCAAGCTCCCACCCCTGGGTCCTCAGGGGAAAGGGGACCCCAAGAAACGCTCCGCAGAGCCAGCCCGGCGAGCAGGGGGCTGGGGGTGACGCTGCCTGCAATGCCAAACCCTGACGCAAACACAAGCTGCATCCCACCAACCGCAGGGGTACAACTGGCTCCACCAACATGACAGCAAAAGCAGGAGAAAAAGCCCAACCCCAGATACTTATACACCGTCAATAAAAATATCAGACCTGCGTGTTATTAAACAATTTGTTTTCGTTTATGCATAGCTGATTGTTCAGAACCTATGAGTCAGTGCAAATTGTATTACGCAGGGAGATTAAGCAAATAAATGCGAGCTTTTTGGAGACATTAAAATGTGAGGACTATGGAAATAAAATTATCTAGAAAATTGTATTAGCAATTCATTAGCAGCAGCAAGATGTTCAAGGTAACCAACGGATCGGCACTGCCTTTAGTAACAGCAGGGCTGGGTGGAGGGGGG